CTCCTCCTTCTTTACTGGAATTGAACCCAGGAACATGCTAAATAAGGTGATCTTTTCTAGGCTGTATGTAGACAGGTTAATTTCCCTGGCTATACACAGGCTTCTGTCACTTAAGGTAGATTTCCTGGTTTGTAAAAGATTTCCTCCTGGCTTGAGCTTTCGGAACAGCTAACTGGTGTCTAGGTGTGTTGTTGAAGAGAGTTTATTTTCCTTCAGAGGTCTAGCATGTATTCTTAATTCTGTGAAGCCAAAATAGGAACCTACCTTGTCAACTAATTTATTTACAAGAATGAAAATAATTCATGCCATCCTCATAGGCTTCGCTCTGTGTACACTTAGTCTTGCATTTCTTTGTACTGTCCTTATTTGGCACTTAAGCCTTTTTTATTCCTCTGTGGAACTTGTCTATCGTTTAACAATTATAGCTCACTTCTTCGTTGCCTCTAAACCCATAACACATATGTCAAGGATTTCATCATATTTACATTGAGCTAAGTTTGTATTGTCTTCTCCCCTCTCAGCTCATCTATAGCCTGTTTAAAGCCCTACTTTAAAAGCCCTGGGAAATTAGTCCATTGTGCCTTTTCTCATCTTCATTCTTCCCCCTCTTCTCTTCTTTCTTTGAACTCAATGTATTCAGTCTATAGTTAGCATCTTCCAGTAATGAAAGTATCAACCACCTATACTTTTTATTTTTAATTTCTTATTTGATTAAGACAATATACAATGTTGTCACATGTACAGACACATGTATTACATTAGTATACTGTGTGTACAAACATATTCTCACACTCTGAATTATTTTTACTGTACTGTCTTGGTTTTTAACTTAAAACTTGAAAATTATGTTTCAACAATTAATGTAATTTTCTTTAACTGCAGTTTGGACACAATGAGATTGAGTTTATATATAAGGTATAGAGTCCACTCAGTGTTTAATGAAATGGTGTGCATATGCTGTTGCCGAAAGAAGCTTCCTATGACAGTGAATTTTTGCTAAAACATCTATATCCCTCTACTTTTATTAACAGTGAAATGCATTTGCAAGTGAATAGGTGAGCCTAGAAATATAACCTATAGTTTAAGGAATGAATGATAGAGAAAGTAAGTAGGAGATGGGTATGGTGGTGCACACCTTTAATCTCAATACTCAGGAGGCAGAGGCAGACAGATCTCTGTGAGTTCCAGGTCAGCCTGATCTACATAGTAGGTTGCAGACCATCTAGGACTATCCAGTGAGACCTTGTCTCAAAAAAAATTAAGTAGGG